CAAATACTTGGTGCAGCGGGAACCATTTGATGTAGAATCCCCTTTTTCTCTCCCATGCGATCAGGGGTGTCCGCACTCCGGTGAGGTAGAGGGATAAGATGACAGCCACGACTACTGTACTGTTTATGATATGAAGTGATTATGTGAGTGAGTGGGTTGAGTTTAACTCCGCCTTGAACACTTACAGTTTATATCCATTTATATCACGGCGAGTCAGTTCAATGTGAATGAAAAGCCAGAAGTAATGCAAATCTCAGACGTTTACATATTTGGTGAAATGTATGATGCTGGCAAACCCTTGGACATAACGGACCTGATTGGGATTCAAACCCATTGTCAGAGAGTTCTGTCATGCCCAAGAGACATACACACATTGGCAAACGATAGGTTTGTGAAGACAGCTAATAGTAGTAGCATATATATGTTTCGTCCCTGTTTGCAATGTTAATGATCTGAGATTATATCATTTTCCGTTTTCTCTAGTGTTTGGCGAATCGTCTCTATCTCAGGGACTCGCTTATTGGCAAACCTACACTTTTATCTGAATATATTCCCGTGGTTCGCGAGATCTTAAATAAAATGCCCTTAATGTCTATTGGCCAGTTTACTACGGTACTCATTTTAATAACCAACCAGAATGCTAGTTACAAACCACTGCCTCAAAGGTTGCGTGGTGATATCAACAACATGATATCAACAACAGACCCGTGGAGGTTGCGAGAAATTCAGTCAAAGGAAATTGAAAGAAATCCAAATCATTTTATTGAAAGGGTTGCCATTATTTCCAAAATGGTTCTAGGCAATACTTATTGCTTTTCTTCATTTACCGTTTTCATTATCTTGACGTTTGGTTGGTCGGCAAAAGCAAGGGTGGAAAACATAAGATCGCCAGAATCACGGTAGGATATAAATGAAAGTGTCTTGGTTTACGAAATGCGATCCCTGGCTACATAGAGGATGTACGTGTTGTAGCATGTGGGCAATGGAACTTAGGTTTTCCATGACAAGTGCGCGCCTTGACCACAGCGTCTCGATGAGATTGAAAGGAAAACAGCATTCCATTGAGCCTCTGAGTCAACAATACTTAGACATAATGTAATTATACAAATATTGTGTATGAAGAAAATATATGTAAGATGTTTTGTCATACGTACAATAAGGACACTCCCCATTGCGTCTCCGAGAACCTCACGACTGTCTTGTAGATGTACAGACCAATCAACGTGATGGCAGGCACGATTGTTACTGGTCCAATGAAGCGGAGCAACACGCCCACCAAACCAGTTGCACCAATCATCATGTGGATGAACCCCACCACCATTAGGCTGCCCATTAACTACAGTGACAGGCAAAATGGAGATTTTCATGGTCTTGTCAGTGGGAGAAAATAGACCGAAAAACTAGGTATTACGATCATATATGCAAATAAAGTATCACGATCCGATAAATATGCAAATGAGGTATCACGATCCGATAAAAATACAAAGGAAATTTCACGATCCAATAAATAAGCAAATAAAGCACATCAGCCATAACCATTTCCGAGCAGCATGCATTAATTCAGTATATGTCTCAATAAGGTATCGACTAACCTTGATAACATCTTTAAAAAAAATTCAAATGTTTGAGGTACTGTTATACCTTGTGCAACAGTGTTTCAACTGTAATACATTGTGCTGTAGATTCAGTAAGTTCTGAGGGAATCCACCGTTTTCTGGCCCACAGAATGTCATAGGATGGCCCAGAAACGGCTACAAGGGTCTTATACCAGGATCAGCTGATCAGAGGTATTTCAAGTCAAAACATTGATTACACAACAGTCCCGTTTCCTGTTGACTGGGTACCGTCCTATTGCGCAACTTAGTACAATAACCAGTCCAGAATTGTGGGACCAATTCAGTTAACTGGATACATAATTATTTGATACATCTAAGCACTTGTATATTGCAACACTACGCTCCTTCTAATCCTTGCAAACACGTCGTTTAGCGTGCTCTGTCGTACAGCGAGCTCTGACAAACGGAAACTTGGAAATCGTGCAAATCTCAAAACGAGGCTCTCCCGCTTGAAAAGTTTGGTGGTCTGGTACGGACTTGATATTTTATCAATCACATTGTGCGTTACAGAACTAAACTGTATAAGCGCAAAAAAACCACATAACAGGTGTAACCAGTGTGTCAGATGCATTGTGAATCATTTTACGACCTCATCAAACAGGGGCAGTCTGTGAAGTCTTAGTTAAGGTCATGCTGCCTACACCTCGCCAAAAAATATAAAAATACGATGTTATTCGAGTCTAAAATTAAAAATTATTTGTAAATACCATTTTCTTATGAGAGAAGGGATTGGAATTCAGTGTAACCATAGTTGTTTGTAGTGTCTCTTTTCACTTTCACACGAGAAAATTCGGATCGGTTGAAAAGTAGGTCATTGTCTGAATAGGTTAATGAGACTCATGTTTCGGTTTGTGGGGAACAAGCTATTGCCTCTCATATCACGTTACATTTTAAGTTTTCAGAAGACCAGCATTACGTCTGATGAACATACCCTGCCTAACCCTTTATTCCAAATTGGATTCATATTACCGAAAGGTGAACACTATCATCGTTGTTTATTGCTACAATCACTGCTCTTCTATTATACCGTCTTTAAGTTCGTACTGCCTCGCAATTCTGTACTGCCATAGCGATACCTTTGGTTTTATTTGTGAACCTTGGGACTACAGTTACTGTTTGTTGGTTTCACATTTCGTTCTCTTAGGAACTGACGCTTGGTATTTTCTTGGGTTTGCTACCTCCACATATATGATCGTGGTTTCACCAAAGTGGAACTTCTCACGTTCTGGAGGACCAAACAACAGCTCCATAACATTTCTGTACCTCCACAAAAATATTTGAACTGATATTGTTAGACAAGAGGTTAGCAAAAAAAACAATTTTTTGCCCCTGTAATGCCTCCTGTCCTTCGTGTTTACAGGAAGTGAGAGACGAAGAACTTGATCAAGTAGATCAATACTGGAAACTTACAATCCCCAGTTTGCCGTGGATTATATCCAGAGGAACTGGATACTGTCCTCGGGTGTCCACGGTGACATTCAGGGTGGAATTACCGTAGTATTCAGCTGAAAGAACAACCCATTCAAAGTCTAGTAATGAACTGTGGTATACATCGTTGTGTACATTCACAAGAAAGACGCTAGCACTTAACAATACGTTGTATTTGTCGCTTTTATCGTCATTAACATTAACTAAATGTACATAACATTTAGTGTTGGCAGGTTGTGATTTACACGCAAAGGAGCAGAATTCTGGGGTGGAATTGGATGTGGCGACCAATAGCATTTTGGAAGTTTCGTGATCGATTTAGTTTTTTCAATAAATAAGATGAAATTGCTTCTTTTAATTTAAGACCCTCCACAAATATCAGATGATTGGTCTTTCAAAACAGTGTAATTATTATGATGGACGGTTGTCGTTACCCAGTTCTTCCTGTGTTGGACACTTCCATTCCTGCATCTCAGACAGAGCCAGTAGAGGGATGATGTAGATGTTGGTTGGGCCTTGGAATACAGGCAGCCTACATCCAAAACAGCCATACATCACATGAACATAAAAGCATTAGACAGAATGGTGGGCGTGTCTGGATTAAAGTCACTTTGAACAGTATCGCAGTTCTGTGCTTGGGAGGAAATGACGCAGGTCTTGGACGTTTACTCGAGAGCATTGAACAAGAGCACACACTCAAGAGCATAAAACAAGAGCACACACTCAAGAGCATAGAACTGGCATTTGCAGGACCATAATCAGGGTGTTAATGACTCAGAGTAGCCACTCTGTACAGACAGTTGTGTTTTTTTCTATTGTGTCTAAGGCGTCGTATAAAGGATCGCATGGGCAAAATGTTACAACTGCCCTCGTTACATTTCTGCCTTACTTCAGGCTGCAAATGATTAAACAACTATTGATATACTAAGAGGGTGAGGGGAAAGGGGAATTTAGGTAGGTATCAATTTCAGGGTTAATATATACCATTCAATTCGGAAATCACCCAAAGAAGGTGAATAATTAGTAGGCACATCATTTATCTCTAATGGTTATCCCAATGAGAAAGATACATGAAAATCTGATAATTATAGAGTTCATGGTATAGATATATCAGACATTTAGTCTAACTACCATCATCTGCATTTTTTCTGAGATTAACAAAAAATGTACGGTTGCATATTGGATCAGTGATATCCTATGTCAGACATACACTTATTTTCACCAAAGGGCCGTTTGGTAACCTAGTAGTTAAAGCGTTCGTTCGTCACGCCGAAGACCCGGGTTGGATTCCCCACATGGGTATAAAGTGTGAAGTCCATTTCTGGGGTCCCTCGCTGTGATGTTGCTTGAATATTGCTAAAAGCGGGGTAAAGCTAAACTCACTCACTCATTCATTTCACCTATGACCTAATATAATGCAGAAATGATTTAACTGAATTTTGCATGTGCCAACTATGGTTTATGGTCACGATATGGCTTAAATAATAAGTCTTAACTCACTTTATAATTGTCTCATTTTAAAAAGTGAAGTAAAATCGGTAACCGCTTTACATCTGGTCTGTGCGTGATAAATATTCAGCAACAGGGACTTATGTGGAGTCATGAACGCCCTGCCTGTGCATCACTTCAAGTGTTTCGAAGAAACTGCAAGGTGAAAAAAATATAATGATCTAGCTTGAGACGAAGAGAACGATGCGAGGCATACATAATTATGTTTCCGTCTTTTCTCACCTCACACCGATGGTGACCATTAGAAATGTTGTCAGACCCGACATGAACATGGTGGAGGACAGTATTTGAGATTTGATCAGCTCAACATCTTGAGCACAGACCAGCTCTGATACAAGCAGGGACGTTGATAGTGGCCCGGCAATGGACATTAGACATTGCTGGTAAAAACAAATAAACATACTTTAGAAACAATGTTCGATGATATGATGGATATGACATGGCTATGACACATAAGTGGTAAAGCTGTATGAGTGAGTGAGTTTTACGCCGCACTCAGCAATATTCCAGCTACATGGCGGGGGTTACAGACAGATGATGTAACATACATTAATATAAACAGTTGTAAAACTATTAACACAACTACTGACAGGGATGATTAGCTGGACTATACGATCCAGTGCTTGACATAATGAGACACGATATATATTATATGCAAGGGGCATAACTACATACATACATGATGTGATCGCTATGCCATACACTGAAGGTAAGGCAAGAGCACAGTAGTATCAGAGATCCAGTGATGACCATTATACACAGTGACCCGTGAAGGTCCGTGTCAGAATATTGATCTTCAGTAACCCATGCTTGTCGTAAGAGGCAACTAACGGGATCGGGTGGTCAGGCTCGCTGACTTGGTTGACACATGTCATCGGTTCCCCATTGCGCCGATCGATGCTCATACTGATGATCACTGGATTGTCTGGTCCAGACTCGATATTTACAGACCGCCGCGATATAGCTGGAGTATTGCTGAGTGTGGCGTTAAACTAAACTCACTCACTCACAATTATACACAGTATTTAGAGTAAAGTCAACAAGCATTCGTCGAGGGACCGTGAAGAGCACTGTACATTTCATACATACATATTTCATATAAAGTGCACTTGGTGTCCTTTCAGATGTCTCATTGGTCGTTCCAAACAACCATCGTAATTATCATCGTCGTTATCTGTACTTGTTACAGCTTCATGTAGATGTGCTGGATGTTAAGTTGTATAATATTGATAAGACAAACATTTTAGTGGTTTAAACAATTACCTGTAATGCAAAAATGGATATCAGATGAAGAGGAGGTGACTCGCTAATTCTGTAGACCAGTCTACGTGGTTTTTCAGTCTCAATATTGACAGATGTGTCCTGAGTTGCGTCTTGTTCAACATGGTCTCCGACGGTATCGGTGATGTCGGTGGTGGCGATGGTGTCATTGTTTGCAAGGTGGTCGCCATTGCCTGTGCGTTTCAGGAGCGGAACTTCACTGTTTATAGTTCAAAGGCAAAATGTGATCACGCGGGCTGTCAAGATATTGACTTGTGTGGAAATCCTCGGGACATGCTCTATTTGTTTTAGTTTTAGTTCATAACCTCCGTACTCTACCACCCATACCCTCCGTACTCTACCACTCATAACCTCCGTAACGCTACCACCCATACCCTCCGTACTCTACGACCCATACCCTCCGTACTCTACCACTCATAACCTCCGTACTCTACCACTCATAACCTCCGTAACGCTACCACCCATAACCTCCGTGCTCTACCACTCATAATCTCCGTAACGCTACCACCCATAACCTCCGTGCTCTACCACCCATACCCTTCGTACGCTACCACCCATACCCTCCGTACTCTACCACCCATAACCTCCGTGCTCTACCACTCATAACCTCCGTACTCTACCACTCATAACCTCCGTAACTCTACCACCCATAACCTCCGTAACTCTACCACCCATAACCTCCGTAACTCTACCACCCATAACCTCCGTACTCTACCACCCATAACCTCCGTGCTCTACCACCCATAACCTCCGTGCTCTACCACCCATAGCCTCCGTACTCTACCACCCATACTCTCCGTACTCTACTACCCATAGCCTCCGTACTCTACCACCCATAACCTCCGTACTCTACCACCCATTCTCTCCGTACTCTACCACCCATAGCCTCTGTACTGTTCCACCCATAGCCTCCGTACTCTACCGCCAATAACCTCCGTACTCTACCACCCATAGCCTCCGTACTCTACCACCCATAGCCTCCGTACTCTACCACCCATAGCCTCCGTACTCTACCACCCATACTCATTCCCATCTAACACCACCAAACGTCATCAATCACCACAAGACACCAGTAACAAACTCATCTCACCAAGCATCTACCCTAAACAGCACAAAACACCCATACCTACACAAGCCAAACTCATCTCACCTAGCATCTACCCTAAACAGCACAAAACACCCATACCTACCCAAGCCAAACTCATCTCACCAAGCATCTACCCCAAACAGCACAAATACCCATACCTACCCAAGCCAAACTCATCTCACCTAGCATCCACCCCAAACAGCACAAAACACCCATACCTACCCAAGCCAAACTCATCTCACCTAGCATCTACCCCAAACAGCACAAAACACCCATACCTACCCAAGCCAAACTCATCTCACCAAGCATCTACCCTAAACAGCACAAAACACCCATACCTACCCAAGCCAAACTCATCTTACCTAGCATCTACCCTAAACAGCACAAAACACCCATACCTACACAAGCCAAACTCATCTCACCTAGCATCTACCCTAAACAGCACAAAACACCCATACCTACCCAAGCCAAACTCATCTCACCTAGCATCTATCCTAAACAGCACAAATACCCATACCTACCCAAGCCAAACTCATCTCACCTAGCATCTATCTTCCAAACAGCACAAAACACCCATACCTACACAAGCCAAACACTCAAATCCACCTCACCTACACCTATACCCACCCCAGCCAAACACTCAAATCCACCTCACCTACACCTATACCCACCCCAGCCAAACACTCAAATCGACCTCAACTAATACCTATCCCAAACAGCACAAAACCCCTATACCCACCCCATCCAAACACTCAAATCCACCTCACCTACACCTATACCACCCCAACCAAACACTCAAATCCACCTCAACTAATACCTATCCAAAACAGCACAAAACCCCTATACCCACCCCAGCCAAACACTCAAATCCACCTCACCTACCCCTATACCCACCCCAGCCAAACACTCAAATACACCTCACCTACACCTACACCTCCGTACTCTACAACCCATACCCTCCGTACTGTCCCACCCATACCCTCCGTACTCTACCACTCATAACCTCCGTACTCTACCACCCATACCCTCCGTACTCTACCACTCATAACCTCCGTAACGCTACCACCCATACCCTCCGTACTCTACCACCCATACCCTCCGTACTCTACTACTCATAACCTCCGTACTCTACCACTCATAACCTCCGTAACGCTACCACCCATAACCTCCGTGCTCTACCACTCATAATCTCCGTTACGCTACCATCCATAACATCCGTTCTCTACCACCCATACCCTTCGTACGCTACCACCCATACCCTCCGTACTCTACCACTCATAACCTCCGTAACGCTACCACCCATAACCTCCGTAACTCTACCACCCATACCCTTCGTAACTCTACCACCCATAACACCCGTAGCAAACTCATCTCACCTAGCATCTACCCCAAACAGCACAAAACACCCATACCTACCCAAGCCAAACTCATCTCACCAAGCATCTACCCTAAACAGCACAAAACACCCATACCAACCCAAGCCAAACTCATCTCACCTAGCATCTACCCTAAACAGCACAAAACACCCATACCTACACAAGCCAAACTCATCTCACCTAGCATCTACCCTAAACAGCACAAAACACCCATACCTACCCAAGCCAAACTCATCTCACCTAGCATCTATCTTCCAAATAGCACAAAACACCCATACCTACCGAAGCCAAACTCATCTCACCTAACACCTTTCCCAAACAGCACAAAACACCCATACTCACCCCAGCCAAACACTCAAATCCACCTCACCTACACCTATACCCACCCCAGCCAAACACTCAAATCCACCTCAACTAATACCTATCCCAAACAGCACAAAACCCCTATACCCACCCCAGCCAAACACTCAAATGAACTTCACAAAACTCCGTATTAAAAACATGATTTTACAAACAAATAACAATTATAATAATAATAATCCCAAAAGCAACTTGGTCATATATTAGAAGCATATATGTAACTTAACAATACTGTAGAACTCTAAGTGACGAAAACAAATTGCTATTGTATACAAAAATATCATCAGTTAGGAAATACATTTTCACAACCCTGTCTTATCAAGAAACTTATGTCATCATATATTTATGAACTCGTGCTCATATGAGTTCACATGCATAAATACACATTCTGATCGTCAAGTTATCTTTCACCTCGATGTAGTTATGAAATTCCTTTGTTATTAATTAAACCAATATTACCTGTGTTGTTCCATTTGTCCTAGGTCCCCTCTCACATGTAAAGGGCAAGAAGGCAGATGTAGGGTGTCATTAACACTATAGTCTGTTCCACGCAATCGTGCAACAGTATCCGGCAGATATTCCCATAAGTGTTTTATAATTAGTGGAGCGGCTAAAACAGATCAATTGTGCATTTAATGATAAAAGCATAAAGCTTTTATTGCCTGATGCATGGTGAACATTTTTGAGATATGGAAGCACGCAAATTTCATTTCATTTTGCGCATGCGCATGGTCTGCTTGTTGTTAACGCCGCACTCAGCAATATTCCTGCTATATGGAAGCGGTCTGTAAACAATCGACTCTGGACCAGACAATCCAGTGATCGACAGCATGGGCACCGATCAACGCAGTTGGGATACGATGACATGTGTCTACCAGGTCAGCGTGCATTCCAGGAGGCCAATTCACACTCGCATCTTCATGGGCTTTGCAGAAGGTAAATACTACTTGGTCTTTTCCCGCTACTGTATTATCTTTGGAAAGGCCATCAATGCATTACAGGGGAAAATCTAACCAAAATAATAATTACCAACATATTCTGGTTAAACGTCTTGAAAATAATGGAGCGTCAGTTGAACAGTGTCCAGCGCATTTAAGTGAGGACTGTTTGCACTTGTATATGTTCTTACGCCTCTTTCTGCAGCCACAAGAGAACACCTCCTGACAAGGCGTTGATGCGTGGTGAAGTGTCATCCATTAGGGAACATATTTACCACTTTCCTGCTGTATCCAGAGTTAAAGGCTGTGGAAGATATGCCCTGCCTGGTAAGCTGGTTTTAGCATGCTGTACAAGAGCTGCATGTGTTGGTGGGATGGGATTTACTGAGCGTTACTGCAAGCACTACAACATCTTGCAGCTACTGTTCGGGACATAATCTACTCATGGCCATGTTTTGCAGCATGAAGTATGATGTGAATATCGGTTTCGTGATGACTGCCAGGGACAAGTGAAGACATATTCATCAAATATTTTGATAGTACCAGGTTTAAACTTTTGAAACAGTGACAGCTCCTTCAGTAATTAAATTGATAACATTTGGCTCTTCTGATATTGGTGTAACACATGCTTCTATAGGTGCCAACAGGTCACATTTTGTAAGAATGCGAAAGCATCCATTTTCTCATTGGGATGACACCGGTGGATACAGCTTTTTGAGAAAGGGGCTGGGTGGTGTCTGCTTTTCATGCTGATCAGAATCATCTAAATTTCCCCACGTGACTGACGCCTATAGAGAACATCTTTCGGACTATGTTAAACACCAAGTTCGAATTTGTTCAAAGAGAAGAATTGACACATACGCTGTATCGTGAATGACAGAGGAATCTATGGAATCCGAGAAGGGACATTGTCGCTATGTGGCATTGTCGCCCTCTCAAAAACAAGTAAAGTGAGGCAAAATAAACCAAAACGCGACACGCGACATCGCGACTACGCGACATTTCGCCCATTTTGCTTGTCTTTGAGAGGGCGACAACGCGACAATGCGACATAGCGACAATGTCCCTTCCTGGATTCCATAGGAATCAGATGCTAATAATAGTGAGTGAGTTTAGTTTTACGCCGCTTTTAGCACTATTCAAGCCATATCACGCGGGGGACACAGAAATGGGGGAATCGAACCAGGGTCTTCGATGTAAAAGCGAACGCTTTAACCACTGGGCCACCCCACCGACAGTGCTAATAATATGATGCTTGGTTGCCCGGAGGAGGAGACTGGCAGATGTTATAAGTCTGAAGGATGCTGCACCTGATACTGTGCTGGTTCACACAATCAGATTTGTAAGGAAGTCATGGTGACCAGGGGCGGTGGGGAAGCCTAGTGGTTAAAGCGTTCGCTCGTCAAATTAGGTCTCCACATGTTCAGCCCAGTGAAATCTATCTTGACAGATATTCGAGACTGGTTATTCTCAGGCGTTGACATTTTTACATTTGACACCTGGTGTGCCCATCCTCATCAGTCAAGAAACCCATGAATAAAAATATATATGAAACGAATATTTATTTATTTTATTTATTTGTTTATAGCACAACCACCAATTTAAATAAAAGAAAACGTTGTTGCCATGGGAATGCAAAAAATATTTCATTCAGAAATCCAAAACTATAAAAAAATAAAGATCACCATGAAAATATCTATGTGCCAAATTGGGTGAAGAAACATTGATCGGTTTTAAAATTCTGCACCGGCAAAGAGCACTACCACCAATTTCAGTCGGAGTCAAACTTGTTGCCATGGAAACGTTTTATTCAGAAATCCAAAACTACCAAAAGGCACTAGTTCACCACCAGACCTATCTATGTGCCAAGTTTGATGAAGAAACATGGAACGGTTTTTCAATATTAATGTAATTGCCCTGAAGACACAATGTGTGAGCTTACAGTGGCTGTAATTCAACTAAGGAATACCAGTTATTTGCAAAACGACCAACAATCAATGTTGACGGTTCCATATATCGATGGCAATCAGCCAGGCGGTAAATACTAATGAAGCAAGACTTATTTAGCTCGGTTCCTACCAGCGCCATGTCTTTCTGCAGTGAATAGGGCGCATTACTTAAATGCATTACAAAAATAGCCCAGGAGATATTTTAAGAATAAACACTGGAGAGTAAATGTTGATACCATTTATTCCCGAAAAGCAGTCAGTTGTACGACTATAGATAAGCATGACATTGTGAGTTCCCCAATATCAAACCACAAGTCTTTCCATGTGAGTCTCTCTCTCTCTCTCTCTCTCTCTCTCTCTCTCTCTCTCTCTCTCTCTCTCTCTCTCTCTCTCTCTCTCTCTCTCTCTCTCTCTCTCTCTCTCTCTCACTCTGCTCTGTACACTGTGTCCCGATGTTTTCGGGGAAATATTAGAATGCTGCGTAAGCTTGTGTTGAATGCTATCACACACGAATATTATTTATTTAGTGTGCAATCAGGGTGGAAGAAAAACCTTCACGTTTCTGACGGCCATTCGATTCACCATTCGCCAGGTGATGTTGGTCATAAACGTTTACACAAATGGGTGAAAGACACGCTGCAGGTAAACTATGAATCATGATGACGGCAAAACTGGATCCTGAGATCCTGAACACGTGTCATAAAACCCGTGAACACACATTTCTGATACAGCCTTTAATCAACGCGTGCCTAATGGAAGAATACGAAATTCCTTGTGTTGCCTCTTGTTTAGGATACACTAATTACTGAAAATGAATCCAAGCACAGGTTTCTTTCCTTGATCACCGAGACCTGCATTCAGATACACGTTTCAGATAAACTCAAAACAACTTCTTTGAGTGACATTTTAGAAGTTGGGAAGTACAATATAGAACAAACTTTAAGGGTAACAACTTC